GGGGGGGGGGGGGAGGAACCCATCCCTGCGGGAAGGAGAGCCAAACACCTGTCTTTTTAATTTAATTTAATTTGATTTTTTCTCTCTCTCTTTCTTCCACGCTCGGTTTGCTTGATGCCCGGGGTGTGTGGAGGGGGTGCAAACCCTTGCTTGCAAAGGCAGGCGAGCGTGGGAATCATTGCACCCCCCCCCCCCTTGGAAACCCACCCCACCCACCCCTGGTTTGCAGAAAGACAAATTCAGACCCTTTTAACTGGGATCTGCCCACCTTGGCTTGCTGGATGTTGGCTAATCCTTTGCTGCCCCCAAGCTGTGGCTGCAGATACTGGTCCTGACAGCCGCCGCTGGAGAGTGCCTGACATTAGCTGGGGCCTACCTTATAAATCTCAGGAAGATTTATAATAATGATGATGATAAATTATTATTATTAATAATAACAATGGGAAGAAGAAGAAGAAGAAGAAGAAGAAGAAGAAGAAGAAGAAGAAAAAGAAGAAGAAGAAGAAGAAGAAGAAGAAGAAGAAGAAGAAGAAGAAGAAGAAGAAGAAGAAGAGATTATTATTATTGTTGTTATTGTTATTATTATTTGGGATGCTTTGCATGCACCTAGTTGGTTTTCAGAATTATCCTGAATTTTGCAAAGGAGACATGACCCTTAGGTTACAAAAACAAAATCTACACTGGACTCGGGGGGTAAAAATGGGGGCTTTGGGGGAATACATTTTTTTTCTGCTGTTTTTCCCCTGTCAAAACGACTGAGTCAGGCCGGGAAATAAGTTGAGATCTGGGTAACTTCCCTTGCAGCCTGATTCGTTCCCGTCTTTCGTTCACTGCAGTAGATTGATTGGGCTGAGTCAGTCTCTTCCCATCTACCCTGCTTGTTTTGAATCTAGTGGAAAATGGAGGGTTTGGGCGAGGCGGGGGGGGCATCTGAGCAGTCTGGTTGCTTTATGAGGAATATTATTAGGAAGCTGGCTTGCCTCATCACTTGAGACTTTCAAGAAGAGATTGGACTGCCATTTGTCAGAAATGGTGTAGGGTCTCCCGCTTGGGCAGGGGGTTGGACTAGATGACCTACAAGGTCCCTTCTAACTCTGATTATCTTGTCACCTGCCTCCTTTTTGATCGAATGGATCTCTCCCTCCCATCGAAGTCAATCTTCCCCTTTCGTTTAAGGGCAGATCCAGCATCTTCGCTGCGGACCTCTCTGCCAACGACCTGGTAAAAGGAACAAGAACATAAAAATGTTTTTTATTTTTTGGCAAGGAGCGTACCCGATCAAAGCAAGGCAATCATTTTAGCCAAGGCATGAAATCAGGTTAATAAATTAGATTTTATCGTGCTGGCTGAAAGTTCTGTTGTTGTTTTTTTGCACTGTTTTTCCTCCTCTTTAAATGACTTGGCAGATTCTGTCCAGGAGCTCTGGGGCTTATTATGCATTAAAGGTGCTTCATTGGATTGAAATGAAGCTTGCCCAAATTTGAATGAGTCCCCCTTTTAAACCCCCTCCCCATTCAAGATTTCGTAGCTTTTACACAAAATCTTTTGTTGGCCCCAAAGTTGTAAGGAGGATCAAAGTTGAGTTGATGTTTTCTGCAGGTGTTAAAGCGGGGGGGGGGACGGGGGGACACAAAGGGAATATAAAAAGATAGGTCAGCAGTTTTACAGGGTGTGTTTAAAAATAATAATTATCTGCGGTCTAAGTATCTTTTAATTTCCATTTGGAATATCTCCATTCTGGTTTGTTTGGCATCAGAATAAAAATCTGAGCATCTTCCAAAGCTGTTCCCTGATTGGAGAGTTTTCTACTCTGTTATCTGAATTAAATATAGGATAAGATTGATACGTCATCGCAGTTTTAAATTATCGAAATTTTGTAGCACTGTGATGAATTTGTATTATTTATTTATTTTTTTAAAAACAGCTTGCTTTGCATGGCATCCTTACGAAACTTCACCCTGCTAGCTAATTTTTCTATATGGATGAGCTTTTTATGTGGAAAGGATGAAGTCCAACAGGGAGATTGAAAAATCCCAGGATGCTTTTAAATCCATTTATTTATAACATGTTAAAGCAGCATCTTCTCTCTCTACTTACCAAAGCTTGTGCTTAACCAGAAAGATTAAAACCAAAGAGGGCTTTTTAAATTTTTTTTTCCTTCTGTCCAATTCTTTCTGCTTCCTGCCCCTTCCAAAAGGGGTGGACTTCAGGGTCCATCATCCTTAGCCATGGTGGATAGGGCCTGGAGTCCTTTGTGAGAGTTCCGAGCCTCCCAAGCTTGATGTGATTCTCTGGATCATCTGGTACTTTTCTTGAAGGCTTCAGATTAAATAAAAAGGAATATATGGATGTCCATTCAGGGATTTGGTTTAAGGTTTGGATGAAAAGCAGAAAAAAAGATATTAAAAAAACCAGACAGGAAGGACCAGCTTTCCCTGTTTCCATGGCAACAGTCAAGCGGCCTAGTTACAGGGACCACCCATCCTTTATTATTAAGGACAGTCCTTTATTTTGATCCTTCTCCTTTTACCCTAAAAATGGTACCCCCGAATGCAGAGTATGGCACATTACCTGCGAAAAAGATGAAAACTTAATGGTCTTTTTAAAAAATGCATTTATTGCATTTAGGGCTGGATTTGAGATGTTTTATTAGGATGTGCTTTTCTGTCTTAGATTTTTATGGATATGTTTTGAATTTTTCTTTGCCGTGCGAAGTTATAAAGATAATATTTTTGATCCTTATGAATAGATTTTTGGATTTACTCCTTTTCTAGATGTGTCCTTTATCCCCCCCCCCAAGAAAATACGGTCATTAGATTGCTGGTCTTACCTTAAAATTCTCACCTTTATCTATCTAAAGGGATGCTGAGAGGCGAGGTTTGTCCCTGGGTGCTTATTTAAAATCGAAAGCAACGAACAATTGAGGAATATTCATTGTTTTAAACCATCGACTTGTCAAAAGGCTAATTCAGTTGGTTGTTCCACTTACTGTTTTGCACAGCCAGTTAGCCTGATTTGCAAAGGTAGTGTATTATGGTTTATTCCAGACAATATGGTTATCAAATAAAATCCTGATTACAGCCATAGACCAGCATAAAAGGGTGCAGCCATGAAAAAGAAGAGAAAGAAAAAGAGAGAGAGAGAATGAGAATTAAAACAAACATTTAAAAACGATGCTCAAAAGCTAGAAGGTACAAAAGATATATAAAAAGGGAGAATTTAAAAGAAGTGATCGGAATATCAGATGAGTATATAGAGGACCAACTAAAGTATTTGGAAGATTATACAGGTAGTCCTCAACTTATGACCAGAAGAATTGAGCCCAGAATTATGGTTGTGTTGATCATTAAGTGGGTTCATCAGGTGATGATGCCCGATTTTATACCTTTTTTTTCACAGTGGCTGTTAAGCAAATATGGCGGCTGTTAAGCAAACCCATTGTACCCAATGAGGAGTTCAACTGGTTTGTAATTAGATCTGGGGAAATCAGTTGTGTACTGTGGCCAGTTACCAAGCACTCTAACACGGCAAACGTGGTGTTCATGAGATCTAGATGAAACCAGTCATAGTTTGGTGCCCAGCCATCTCTTCCTTGTTCCTTGGTCGTGCAAAGCAAGCCCAGCAACTAGGGTATAACTTGGGTCAATCATGGTTAAGAAGTCATGGGTGAGAACTCTGTCCTGTTCTCTCCCCTCTTGCAGGAAAAACTGAGCAGTGATGTTGGTGTTAACCCTGGTCTAGGAGCTTCAGGTCTCTCCCTTCAAATCTGTTTTACGATTCCTACCTCTCTACCTCATTCTGAAACCAGGTTAAGATGCGTGCCTGGGTAGCTGTGGCCAGCACCCTCATCTTCATAGGGATGGACGTGACATTGACCACCATGTTGTATGAATACAACCGCCACAGCAGCACCATCCTTCAGGATCTCAAGCACTTCAACATCTTCAACTCCATGCTGGATATTTGGGGGTCTTGCTTGTATCGCAGCTGCCTACTCTTGGGGGCCTCCATTGGGGTGGCCAAAAACACCAGTTATGGTCCCAAACGGTTGAAAGGATCCCGGATCTTTATCATTTTGGTCTGTCTGGCGATTGGGATTTATGCCCTGGTCAAGTTGCTTCTTTATTCTGAAGTGAGAAAGACCATCAAGGATCCTTGGTTTTGGGGTTTATTCGCCTGGACTTACATCTCGCTGGTGGCCACCTTCTCCTTCTGGCACCTGCTCTCCTCTGTGACCCCTGCCAGGGATACCTTGGGGATTAATTCAGAATCCAGGGCTGAAGCAGAAGACGTTGGAGACCCCAGTTCTCCTGGGGTTCGGGGAAAGAAAGAGGAGGCCTCAGCTGCCACCATTTGTAAACTCCTGTCCTACACCAGGCCAGATGTCCACTTCCTTGTTGTAGCCTTTTTCTTCCTCTTACTAGCTGCTTTAGGTGAGTGATTTGGGTGTAAAAATAAAAGGACATGGAACGCTCCTTACTGTCTTTATGTTGTGCTTGAAAGTTTAAGGCAGTAGAAGTGGTGAAGATGTTGGATAAAATAAAGTTTATCGAACATTTGGTGGTTTTGTGGGAAAAATCAATATCAAATTGGAGGTTAACGTTAGCTAGGAACATTGTGGGTTTATTCAGAGTTGAGAACATTCTTAACTCCAGTTGACATCACTGAGAAGATGTGTGGTCATTTCTCTTGGGTAGATCATTGCTTGCCCATCCCTACCATAAACTAATTCCCAACTTTTTCAAATCTTTTGAGACTTGAGAAGGGAATTGCTCTGAAGTTGACCTCGGCTTATGTCCTTGTTGGCTTTTCACTTTTATTCTGATTTTTTGCTTCCCAACAGGAGAAACCTTCCTTCCATACTACACTGGCCAGGCCATTGATGGGATAGTCATCCAGAAGTCCATGGACCAGTTTTCCAAGGCAGTGGTGATCATGGCCTTTCTAGCCATTGGAAGGTAGCTTTGTTAGAGTGTTGGTGTGTTTGCTACCTTAGAGCCTGAAGATTGGAAAGTGTGGTGGTTGTGTGAAGTGTCTTGCAGTGGTTCCAGGCTGTGATTTAGTTCGTCTCTTAGGTAGGGCCCGGATTTCCAAGAAATTGCAGGTTCTACAATTGTGGAAAGAACAAAAGTTAAAACAAGTAGAATTATGTGGAATAATCATCTCTGCTCTTTCCGTGGGTTGTGTGTGTGTGTGTCTGGGAAACCTTGCAGGGAGGGAAAAGTATGGTGTAACCAGTCAAGATCAGAAGAAGTTCAGAAATTCCTCAAACTGAAATATCCCAGAATACAGAATAACAAAGTTGGAAGGGACCTTGGAGGTCTTCTAGTCCAACCCCTTGCTCAGGCAGGAAACCCTATATCATTTTAGACAAATGGTTGTCTAATCTCTTCTTAAAAATCTCCAGTGTTGGAGCATTTACAACACTTGGTGGCAAGTCGTTCCGCTGAGTAATTGTTTTTTTTAGGAAATTTCTCCTTAGTTCTAGGTTGCTTCTCTCCCCGAATTCATTTCCATCCATTGCTTCTTGTCCTGCCTTCAGGTAGTTTGGAGAATAAGTTGACTCTTCTTTGTGGCAACCCTTTAGATATTGGAAGATATTGGATCTCCTTTATAGAACCTTGCAGATGGAGTTCCATGCAAAAGGTCCAGAATTTATTCCTGTCCTGTAAAGATACTGCTTTTGCAGAATGTTCTCTCTTGATTTCAAAATTACATTTCAATGTAACGTTGGGAGCAAAATCTAAGTTCATTCCTATGGGTGTCTCTCTGAAGCATTTCTTTCTTGATAGTGTACAGGTAATCCTGGGCTCAGGGGGTGTTGCTTTGTCGGTCTCTGTCGATCCTATAACATCTCTTATCTGCAATCAGCTCATTTACCGCAGGTGTCCGAGGTGGCCTCTTCACCCTGGTCTTTGCTAGACTGAATATCAGGCTCCGTAACAGACTCTTCCGGTCGCTAGTAGTGCAGGAAATGAGTTTCTTTGACGAAAATCTCACCGGTGAGTTTCTCTACCTTTTTTGGTGACGTCAGGAGTGGGGATCCCATCACCCTGCAAATATTGATCAATCGCAGAATCACTGATCAGGCTGCTTGGGAAATGTAGTTCAGGAGAATCTGTAGGCTGGTGGATTGAACGCAGTTAGTGTTTCTCGACTTTGACAACTTTACAACATGTGGACTTCAACTCCCAGAATTCTCCAGAACTTAAACATTTCTGAAACGTGAGAATATTGGCTTCGTTGGTAAATCAGAGTCCTAATACTTCTTCAGTGTCATTTTGTATAGGTTTCATTCTCTTGTTATGTTTTGTTTTCCGCTGATCCTTTGTCCTCTGTCCTCCTTCCTCTCTTTCAGGTGACATCATTTCCCGACTGACATCAGACACAACCATTGTGAGCGATCTCGTCTCCCAAAACATCAACATCTTTCTGCGCAACCTGGTCAAAGCCACCGGGGTCATTGTTTTCATGTTTAGTCTCTCGTGGCAGCTCTCCTTGGTGACCTTCATGGGCTTCCCTATAATCATGCTGATGTCAGATGTTTATGGGAAATATTACAAGGTTAGTTTTATGGGCGTCTTAGAATGATCTGATATTCCTTTAATCATTTGCAATGTTTGGGGGAAGGCCTTTTAAACCTTCTGTTGCTAGTTATGGTCAGGTGAATTGGCATATCTGAATGGTCGCATATTGTACAAATATTTGTAGGCTAATGTTGAGTTTTTGTCAGGCTCCCAAAACTATGAAAGAGGTTCATAGTTACTTATAAACAGATTCCTTTAATATTCCTAACCTGCAGACAGAATCTTGCCAAACTAAAGCAACTACTTGCATGCTAAAGATACACTCTGAGAACTTCCAGGGAGGAGCTGTCCTAACTCTCTTCCTCCCAATGAAACTCTAAACTTTGCTGTCTCTTGGGCCTCTGGAATGCAGCCCCTCCCTTCTGGGAATCCAGACCAGGTTCCACCGCAGTTTTCTACTCAAAGCCACACCTAGACCTGGATTGCACATATATGGACATAGATGTATTTGTGTTTAGCATCTGGAATTCCATGTGAGCTCCCAAATTTGAGGGTAGCTTGGAGAACTGTTGAAGTAGGACCTCTTCAGAGGTGACCCTTCTCCTCCTTTCTTTTAACCAAGTAGAAGCTCTCTAAAGAAGTCCAGAACGCTTTGGCCAAGGCGAACAATACCGCTGAAGAAACCATATCCGCTATGAGGACAGTCCGAAGTTTTGCCAATGAGGAGGCCGAGGCTGACGTCTACTGGGAGAAATTGCAGCAAGTCTACCAACTCAACAAAAAGGAGGCTATGGCTTACACGTACTACGTGTGGTCAAATGGAGTAGGTTGAAATGCATCCTCTCTTCCTCTGACTTTCTTGTTTTCTTGTTTTTTTATCTTTTCTGTCTTTCTCCAGTTGTGCTTTGGACACACAGTTGGGAAGATGAAGGGATTCCCAATTGTATAACAAAAGAGCCAGATTTTTCTCTTAGGCCCAGAGTAAATAAGAACACATTTGTTGTGCCAAGTATTTCTTCAGAGTTGAGTTCACCTCAGCAGCTGCCTGAAGTCTCAAGTGTCATTGCTAACTTAGGAAAGTCCCAATAGAAAAGAATATTTGTAGCTCAGGGTTGAACTGTGGGGTCCTTGGTGCTCTCTGAGCTTGGTGGTTGCCTTGCAGACGTTTCATGACCAAGCTAGGTAACGTCATCATTGCTGCTGATAGGAAAATGTTTCGTGTGTCTGAAGAAGTAAGACCAGTCTTGCCCAATTTGGTGCCCTCATGAGTTAAGTTGGAGTCCAGCTCCAAAGTTCTTGGTGTTACAAAGTTCAGGTGTTTATCCTTGATTCCAGCTCACCCTACTCATCGTTCAAGTGAGCATCTTATACTATGGAGGCCATCTGGTGATCACTGAGCAAATGACAAGTGGCAACTTGATATCCTTCATTATTTATGAATTTGTTTTGGGAGACTGCATGGAGGTAAGTGACACTTTTTAAACAGTCTGTAGTCTTGCCTGAAAGGAGTTGCTGTCTCTGATCTCAGCTGAGCATCTTTTAATATTTTCTCATATGTATCAGATGGATTTTTGTAAATATGAAGACTGTCCATGGTTGAAGTTGTCTTGAAATGTTTTTATAGAATTTTTCAAATAAGTCTGTCCCTAAAATCCTTCCTAACACCCTGCTAACAGCACTTAAAGGCATTTTAATTGTGGACTTACCTTTTTCATGGGTTAGAACTGTTGCAGATTCTCGGTTGAAGATCCATCTGCAATCTACAATTTAAAATTCTTCAAAGGCAGAAATGTAAAATTTATTTTATCCAGAGCTGTGTTTCCTCGGACATATTTCTTTTCAAATGCAGAACAATTGGTTCTTATAACCCCTATTGCACAGTAAGATTTTTCGTGAAATGACAACACCTTCTAGTAATTTTCTTTCTTCCTCTTTTTTAGTCCATTGGTTCAGTTTACAGCGGCCTCATGCAGGGTGTGGGAGCAGCTGAAAAGGTATTTGAGTTCATAGACCGCCAACCCACGATGTTAAACGATGGGACGCTGGCCCCTAGCCAACTGGAAGGAAAATTGGAATTCAAGAATGTCACTTTTGCTTATCGCACCCGTCCTTCATCTCAAGTCTTACAGGTAAGTGTATTTTTGGTCCGTATGGGCTACTCAAGGGTTCTCATTCTGTCTTGTGGATTTTAGCAGTAGGAAGGCAGGATAACAAAATGCTTTGTATGTTACCGTATGCAGAAGTTACAGTTCTTACCACCTTTGGTCCTCATGAGGCTCACACACAAATTTCAGATGCTCCTTTCTTTCTTTCTTTGGGTATAAGTTGAGTAGCTTTTGGCTGTGTTCACATAACACCCTGTATATATGTTCCTTGGGACTTAGTGAGTTATGTGTAGTCTGGGACTGTGCTTTGTTTAATAAACTAAACTTAAACCATAGCTTAGCCAAAGTACGTAAAACAGGTCTACCATTTTAGATAGCCCAGTTTTTCACTAGTCCAAAAATCCCAGCTTTTTTCAAGCACACAAAATTCCAGATCTAAAGAAGAATGATGAAAAGAATAAGTGCTAAACTTTCTGCCCTGGTTTTAAAACTACACTTTCTCCATATTGGTTCTTTGGAGTTTTGGTGGGAACCAAGGAATGTCTTTTCAAGTGACTTCTAGCCCTTGGCGCACACCTTTTCTTGGAAAGGTAACTCAAAAAACTTGGCAAGTCGTGGATGAGACATGACTACGATCTGCTTGTCTTGTAGGATGTCTCCTTCACTCTCCATCCTGGGAAGGTGACCGCGTTGGTGGGTCCTTCAGGCAGCGGGAAGAGTTCCTGCGTCAACATCATAGAGAACTTCTACCCTCTTCAAGAGGGCCAGGTTCTTCTGGATGGACAGCCTATTCATATGTATCAACACAAGTATCTTCACTCAGTGGTATGTATCGCCAGTAGCTGGGTCCCTAGATTTGACTGAGTATGACAAGATGATGTTTCCAAGAAAAAAGAACATCCTAACCCTTCAGGTTCCGGAGATAGATTTGCAAGAACTTGTGATGAAATCCCCGTGGATGATTTAGGCTTCTAACTGTCTCATTTGTCCCTGTAGCTCACAACTACCAAGTTCCATCGGTTAAATAAAAACAATTCTCTCTTTCTTTTGACCAGAAAATGCATAAAGTTCGAAGAGCTCATCTTGGATTCCCAACATGGAGAGAATTGGCTCCTTGAGCGATGGTTCAATATCATATTCAGGGAAATACAGGTAGTCCTCAACGTGCAATAGTTTGTTTAGTGACTCTTTGAGTCACTAAACGGCACTGAAAAAAGTGACTTATGACCATTTTTCACATGGCCATTGCAGCATTTCCATGTAGCATGATTAAAATTTGGCTGCTTGGCCACTGGCTTATATTTATGACAGTTGTTCTGTCCTGGGGTCATATGATTTCCTTCGGTGACTCTCTGGCAAGCAAAGTCAAAAGGGAAGCAAGGTTTCACGTAACAACCATGTCGTTAACTGAACAACTGCAGCAAATCCCTTAACCGCTGTCGCAAGAAAGTTTGCAAAATGGAGCAAAATTCACCCTGACCGATGTCTCTGCTTAGCGGCAGAAATGTTGGGCTCCATTGCAGTTGTAAGTTGAGGACTACCTGTAGATACAAGAGAAGATACTTTCAGAAGAGTCATAAGGGTGGATGTAAGCCGCTGCATGATTCACCGACACATGACCTCATGTAATTTCCATCATTCATTTGCTTTGTGAGTAATGGTAATCAGTCAACGTCTTCACCGGTTCTACCCTTCATCCCTCTTGAACCCCTGTTGTCTCTTTAGATCTCCCTGGTGAGCCAAGAGCCGGTCCTGTTTGCTCGATCCATTGCAAAAAACATCTCTTACGGTTTGGATTCGGATCCGTACGAGCTAGTTGTTCAAGCTGCCCAAAGTGCCAACGCCCACACCTTTATTATGGAATTGCAAGATGGCTATCACACAGGTAGGGTCTGACACCACAATCGTTCTTGCAGCAAATTCATCAGCTCTGAAATCGGGGCCTGCAGCGCCGCCTTAAGAGGCCTATTCATTTTTGTTGTTGTTGAAGTCTGGTTGACGTTGTCTGACAGGGTGGCTTATTAATAAGAAGTCCTGCGGATTTTGCTATTCTGTTTTGTGTTGTGGCTCCGGGTTTGGATTCTGCTCCTGTGGCAGATATGAGTTCAAGTGATGAGGACATGGCAGCAAAATATGAGCCGGCATTGCTTAGTGATTGGGATAGTAACCAGGATGAGGAGATGGATGTAACAAGGGAAGATAGACCTGAAGTAATAGAGTTGTCAGGACCTTCGACCTCCTCTGGTTCTGTATCTGATCAGCAGCCGGGAATGGCTGACAGGGAAGGCATGAGAGAGTTTTCCAGTGGAGATGAAAATTTGGAGAACTTATGGTTAGACGTCAGAAACAGAAGGAGGCTGAGAAGACAAACTCAGTTAGAAAGGAAGCGTCGAGCTAGTCATTAATTAGGGAAATTAGCACGCTTCATAAGTGAATAAAAGGACACGGCTGGGCTGGTGGAATTCGCCAGAAGCAAAGTGACTAATTGGGAGTGAAGACATGCAGCAAACTCTCTGAGGCTTGTGATTTACTGCCATGCCAGGATTGCCGGACAGAGTGTGGATTTATTGCTGTGTATTGGAATTTACTCCAGCCGTTCTATTGTGGGGGTTTGTTTTTGATTTGAACTAATTCTGAAACGGCTGCTTTTTGTTTTGCTCGCCTGCAATTAAAGGGGAGACATAACAGTTTTGTTTTGTTTCCTTTGTTTTCTTCCTCCTGCAGAAGCTGGGGAGAAGGGAACCCAACTGTCTGGTGGTCAGAAGCAGAGAGTGGCTATTGCGAGAGCTTTAATCAGAAACCCACCGATTCTGATTTTGGACGAAGCTACAAGTGCTTTAGATGCGGAGAGCGAACACGCAGTGAGCAAGATGGGGTTTCCTGTTCAGACTTCCTGAATCTTCAGCAGAATTTGTTGCTAGCTTAAGATGTCTTTTGCAGACAAAAAAAAGAGATCCTTTCTCTTAAGTCAGTGTTTCTGAACGTTGGCAACTTTAAGATGGGCGGACTTCAACTCCCAAAATTCCCCAGCCGTGTCACATTGCCGACTTTAATTGAAGACTGTGAATTAAATCCTTGAGAAAAACCTAAATAAAAACCAATATAAGAGCCAAAGGTTAGGTTTACTCAAGAGACACATATTCGGGGTTTCCCCAAAACATTGAAAACAGGCTGGGTTTATACAAGCCACCATCAAATTATCAAAATTCACCCCCACTAAACTTGAGCTTCACGGGTGATCACAGCTCCCTAACTTGATTAAACATGTTTTGAACATAGCTATTTTATTAATAAGGACTTGAGGGGTTTTATTTAATCTTGGTCTGTTCCTGTTAGTCCTGTTTTGCTGTTTAATTGATCGGAAGCTCCCATGAGTGAATAAATTGCCTATTTTCCTGTCTGATTTGGGGAGAGTATTTTGGGCGATGGGATGTCTTTTTCTTGATGTAACCCATCTTTCTTCTTCTTGGCAGATTCAGAAAGCTATCTATGGACATGTGCAGAATCACACGGTTCTGGTCATCGCCCATCGACTGAGCACTGTGGAAAAGGCACACCACATCATTGTTCTCGATAAGGGCTGTGTGGTACAACAAGGGACGCATCAGCAGCTTATGGAAGAAGGCGGCCTTTATTGCAAGCTAGTGCAAAGACAGATTCTTGGCCGTGAAACAGGCACGGAGGACAGCTGTCCACTGGATGGTGGCTTGGCTAACATCCAGAGAGGTTCTCCGAAGACAGGATTGGCAGAAGAGGTAAAGAAGGGAAAACAAACCTGCTGAACTTGAAGATACTCAACTGGACCGTCCGACTGCCAACTGATCCCAGAAGCGAATGTAACAAGGGTTCCCATCAAACTCCAGATGGAAGAGTTAGCATCTTTCACAGGGCTTCCCCCGGGCTTCCTTATCTGGTGTTGGCTAATTACAATCCTAAGCAGTTGTCCAACCTGAATTACTCCCAGGAGATAGCTGTAGAAGAAAAAGAAAACCAGATGCAATTCTTTTAATGGGCTGTGTCTTCTTCCTCCCCCGGATATACCTTGCAAGCTTTGCTCTTTCCTATAAACCGGCATGGTTTTTAAGGACGTGCACTATATGGAAGAACAAGGATCTTGAATGGATCTTTCAGATGCATCACCACTATGGGCTGGGATGGAAATAACGTGCTTGGGATTGGCATTGAAGCCAACCGGTTGACTTTGGGATCACCCTGGTGCCTACAGATTTGCTTTACGCTTCCATGACAGTTGAACTGGACCGCCAGATCTAATGCACTTTCCATAGGGAGCTTGGCTCAGCTGGAATTCAGAACATCTGGATATGTTGTGGTCCAGGTCAATGGTTCTCTGGGTATCTCTGGCGAAGTGTGGTACTCTACAAGCTGGGATCGTCACAAGCTGCGTATGCATGAAGGTTTTCTTATAAAATCAGTGCTGTTTCAGTTGGGTAGGGGTTTCAGAGATAGTAGCATCCCGAACAGCGATTGCAATAAAACCTCCAGCCATAACAACAGAGAGAACAAGAGGATTGCATCTTTGGTCCGCAGTGCATACCTAGATGGCAATAAAAGTGGAGAGAGAGCCTTGGTTAGGGGGAATAGGCAGTTTTATTGCAGTTGGAATTATTTACATTTTTTATCGCTGATATGCACAGTCGCACACAATCTGGGTTGGGCACCTGAATATCCCAACTAGCAAGTCAGCTCTGTTTGCAAACTATTTATTTCTGTAGAACAAAGATTTTTGTTTTCCTCCTGCTCCTCTTCCTCCTCCTCTTCCTTTTCTGTTTTAATGCCTAAAATCAAACATGTCGGTTTTAAAATATGCCCATTCTGCCAGGAAACATTTCCTGCCAAATTTTATGTTAAAAGATATAGATTCTGCTAAATGTTGCAAATATTGTGGGTTATAGTTATTTTGTTTAGATAATTAGTTAATCATCAAGCACCAGTTCTCCAAATTATTTTGATGGATTTGTTGTGTTCACTCTAACAAAGGAAAGAAAAGGAGAAAAAAAAAACCTTTCCAAATCTAGCTGTGTAATTTGACCTATTTTGATCTATGACTTTTACAGCTGGATAAATATTAAGAGTTCTCAGCCAAATATGTGCTTTAAAAAAACAAAACTGTGAATTGAGATTGAACAATTACTGCAATGCTTAATCTTAGCAATTTTGAAAAGGTAATTTGTTCTCTCTGGGTAGCCTTTCCAGTTGCATTTGGTTATAAAATGACTCATGCACTTTATCACATTTTAATTACTTTCTGATACCTCGATGGGCAGATTTTTGTCGTTTGCAATGTTTTAAAAAAAGCGTATGATATTTTAGCAATATTTTACAAGTACTTCACTAAATTAAACAACAAAAAAACTACCTCTGATATTCTAGTTTTAGTGAGTGTGTGTTTTCAAGAATCTGTCCCAAATAGCCTTTTATTGGTAAGAGTCACCTCAGAGAGATAGCAAATTTTTATTGACTAACAACAAGAAAAAGTTAAGCCCTTTAATGTAATATTGGTTTATGCTGTGCTGGTGAAAAGACAAATGTTTTCCCCCCCATAAAGTTCTTTCCAACTTTGCTTTTCAAAGTGAAGTTAATTGCTTCCGTTACTCAAGGTAGCATGGCCAGTGGTCCATAATAATGCAAGTTATGAGCAGTGATACCTTAGGTCCCATGGATGAGAAGGACAAAGAGCTGGTTTCCCTACATTCTCTTTTGTTCTTTTGTGTTAGTTGCAAATAATTTCCTTGACTTTGTTGGCACCATTGTGAAATTTGTTTTTATGCTGGTTTCTACAACCCAGTCTTCACCCAACTTTTATGCCCCCTTACTCAAAGATTTGGCACTTTATGTACAGCTTTTGTTCAAGATTTGATTCACGTACAATTGCACCAACAGGAATACAGTTGGGCAATAAAGTTTGAGTAAAACATACAAGGATTTATGAGAATTTGAACCGGCTGTGAGATGTTTAATCAGCTGTCTCAAGAGAAGGTTGAAGGCTTCCTCAGAGTACAGGTAATCCTTGACTTACTACCAAAATTGGGACCAGAATTGCAAAGCAAGGCAGTTAAGGGAGTCCTGCCTGATTTTAAGACCTTTTTGACACAATTGCTAAGTGAGTAGATCTCCCATCATTAAGTGTATCCAGCTTCTTCCCGTTGATTTTGCCAAACGTCTGAATTTTGATTATATGACTGTGGGGATGCTGCAAAGATCGTAAATCAAGGGCCGGTTGTATATCACTTTTTTTCAGTGCCCTTGTAACTTTGAACAGTTGCTAAACGAACAGTTTTGAGTCAAGGATTGACGTATGCTTGTGAATTAAATTCTGTATGAACTTTCCAGTAGCTGATGACTACTGTCATACATTCAGCTCGAAGAAGTGGGTGTGCATCCTGAGAGTACAATTACAAATAAATCAGGTCAAACATCTCCTCCTATTTCAGGAATTATTCAAAGAGGCTGGGTGCCAACTTCTTGCAATTAACAAAATTAAATAATCATGACAGGTTTAAAGTGAATCCTGGATGTATGTACCTAGACACCGACACACCTCATCTTGAGGATTTCATAGACCATGGGAAGGATTCCATATTGGAAGCGGGAAGTCAGGGAGAATGATGCAATTAAATTGAATTAATAATTCAGCTCCAAATCTGATAGGGTAATTGAACACAATCCATTCAATACAGATGTGTAACTTTATTTAAGAGGAGATGGTTAGTCTCTGAACTTCAGGTGCAAGATCCAGGTGTTTTATGCTTATCCCAAGAACAAATTCAACTAAAATAACAATCTTTTATCCTTGGGATAGAGAGAAACCGCTCCAAGGAAGAATTTTTCATCTTGCAGAAGAAAAATTGCAAGCTGAAATCTTCCTCCCTTACTAAGGAAGCTGGAAGAAATGTCGAATTGTTACCAAATTGTTCGACAACAATGCTAACTCTTGGATTGTTTTCCTCCTATATTTAGATTGCACTAATTATAAAAACCTTAGGAAGAGGGAAAGGAATGGATTTTTCTTTGACCTGCAAAATGCCAAACTTCAAACCAGGAAATCCTGTCTGAAATAAAGCCCGATCAGCTGGGCTATTGTTGACATGTCCGCATTGTTGACATATTCAGCTTAGCAAGGCTTCCCCAGCAATGGAGAAGACACACCTTGAGTTGTGCAATGCCGGGTTACCATTTAAACCTTGTCCTTGAAGTTGTTTAGAATTTTAGCTTGGAAAGAGCAAAGACCACACCTGAACTTAAAAATGCAGGTCTCTTTTAAGGTTAAAAAAATACATTTTCCCCTATGAGAATGCAGATGAATGCTTCAATTAGGAGACCTACAGATTGTAACAACAAAAATCAAAGTTTTCAAGCATTCTGATTATTGTATTGATTTTCATGGGTGATTGTCTACTGGAGGTATCCTAGGTAGTATCTTTCTTGTCTATTGCCTTATCTTAAAAGTACATAAGTTAGCAAAATACATTGGGGCTATTTCTTCAAGATTAGAAAGACTTGCATTAACAAGGATTCAATTATGCAAGTTCAAAAATACGTTTAAGTATTTGTATCAAAAGTAACTTTCAAAAGCATATAACTTATGTACTAAATATGAGCTTAAACATTCATCTCAAGTTACACCATTAAAATATTAAATTTCCAATCATTAAGTCATAGGGAAAAATGGGAAATAAAGCTGATAAATTATCATATGCAGTCCAGGTTTTTTAAATGGAGCTCCCATTGGTAAAATGCTGAAAAAGCTGAATATTTAGCCAACACATTTAATGTTCAGGAGCATATGAGTGCAGTGGTCAACTTCTCATTAAAAAATGACTTGATTCTCAAATCAGTTGTGCAACTTCCAAATGTAAATCATCAAATTGCATTTTATTATAAGGTTGATCCTCTGATTTTCGTGGAGATGGAAAAGCCTCATTTTAACATTGCTAACATTTCTGCAAAAATGTTGCATGTACAATGCTAAATGGTACCCTAGTCATCCAAGCAAATTTTCTGTTCTACGCATGTATGCAATTAAAAAAAAAAACTGCATGTTTTTTGTTATATTTTTAAAAGAAGCATCCGCCACAAAGATTTCACGCAAGCTGGTCAATGATCCAAGCAGACAATAGGAACAGGGTGAAAATGAATTCAAGGCGGAAAGAAAGATTGATGCAGGGAATTGCAAATGCAAATTCATCTTCTATTATATCAGGAATTATCTGTCCGATCCCAGCTGCCACTTTCCCCATTGTTGGCGCTGGGATTAAATTAGTTTTCTGATTGCAAACTATCCATTTTCCTATGTGTTTTTTTTTTTTTTGGGGGGGGGGGGTGTTTGTTGCCAGAGGGGAAAAAAAAAAATTGCATTAGACTTTTCTTCCAGTTAGTCATCCCATCATTGTCCAAGAACAAAGATGTTATGCATCTTTTTAAAAATTCGGCTCCTTTTTCAAGTAGATGGTTAATATTTTTTTACTCTTAATTATGTCATAATGATGTAGATGGCCAGACAGCAAATAAATTTAATATTTTCCCCCCACCCCCAGAAAAACATGGTCCTTCGTGCATCTCGGATGGGAATAAAATGACTTTCTCCTATTAACAATAGTGCTGTGAATAACGTATTTATTTATTTACATAATTTTATTCATAATTTTTATTTATTTATTTGTTTGTTTGTTTTATTTATTTATTTATTTGTCGCCTCTCCTTGAGGGGGGGCTGTACTGCTGCAATCAGCGAAGGGAGGGACTGGATAAGAAACCAGGGACAATCACTACACCCAGGCAAGCAAGCCTCAATAAACAAAATACATGAAAAAAATATATGTTTATTTTAATCATGATTTAAGTTTCAAGCAGGCGGGAAAAGCGCTTCTCAGGTAGCCCTCAGCGCCTTTCCCGCCATTTTTGACTTTCGGGGAGGGGAGGGGGGAGCGTGAGAGGCGCGATGACGTCTGTCCCCCCTCCCCTCCCCTCCCTCCTCCTTTCCTACCTGGTGGCGAGAGGGCGGAGGGAGGGGGCCGGGAAGAGCGGCAGCAGCACTTCCGGTGGAGCGGCGGGAGGGGCGGGCACAGCCGCCGCTGCCAGCGCAGAGCTGCGGAGGGCGGCGAGTGGAGCGGACGCGTTTTTCTCGTCCTCCTCCTCGTCCTCCTCCTCCTCGGTTCCTCGCCCCGACATGGCGGTGGACGCCAGGCGGTTGGAGGCCCTCAGCCTTCACCAGCTCCACGAGCTCCTGGAAGATGAGGAGCAGCTCCAGAACATGGCCCTGGAGATGGAGGAGGTAGGGCGGGCGGGGGGGGGACGGGACGGGGACCCCCAGGGGAAGCAAGGAAGGAAAGGAGAGGGGGAGTCCCGAGGGGGAGAAATGGGGG